ATCTGCACCAGACGCCCGAAAAGTTCGGGAACGAGCACGGCGCCCGGCACTCGATGGAGCCATGGGCGACTCAGGCCAGGAAGCGCCCGACCGACATCGAAGCTTACAGGGCTGGAAGGTCAAGAGACGCCGCTGGCGACATCCAAAATATTCGCGCAAACCCATTTATCTCGACGGCGTTGTTCGCGAAGTTCCGAGACCTGAAACAACCTCCTTGAATGCTGACGGATGTCGGGCATGATGTCCTTCGGCGACGCGAGCGAGACTGCGGCGAGTCCGTTGCCTGTGTTCTTCAAGCCCAAGAAGTCGCAGTCCGCTCGCTCCCTGCGCGGATTTGGCCCGGGCGCGCGTTATCCTCCGCGCCTGGGCGCGAGTGCCATCGGGGCGCCGTTGAACGACCTGCGCGCGGGGCCCCCGGCGAGGATCCACGGGGGGGCCCCAAGGGGCACCTTGCGCGCGCGCGGCCCATAAGCATTGTGGGGAAGAGCGCCGGGCCCTGGAGCGGAGCCAGCCAATCGATCAACGCGCCCCGACACATCGCGAGAGCGAAGTAGAGGGAGGTCGCGAAGATCACGCTGCGAGCCCCACCTACCCAAATAACTCCGACCTACAATCTCATCGACGGACTCGGCCGAAAAAACCCACCCCCCAATGACAGGCGCTCGCAATTTGCACCGGGGTTTGCGCGGTAAGAATTCGGCGCCCAGTTCTAGCCCCGAAAAGCTGGAGGCGCCAGTCGAAGGGTAGCCGCGGCTGGCGGCGACGGACAAGACGGCGCAGCTGCTGTCGGGGCTCTGCGCGCGTGGACTCCGACTTCGCTTCAGCGCGCCGGGCCTGCGCCAAATGCTGCTGCTGCTCGGGGCCCTGATGCTGAAGAGCGCCCGGCAGTCCGAGAACTCCCGGGGATCCTGCAAGGAAGCTCGGGCGTCGCGGGAGTCCGCGCCCAGGGCATCTCGCGCCGGGGGGGCGCTGGCGGAGTCGACGAGCCAGGACTGGGTCATTTCTCCGCGCAGCACGGCTAACCGACCGAAGCATCCGCATTTTGGCCACGTGCAGTGTCCGAGGGGTTCCCCTGAAAAAGAGCGCGCCTATCTCGCCGGGCTTCCCGGTTCAAACCTGCTCATGGACTGCCAACCTCTGGGGCGGGCCACGTTCCGAGACGCCGCGTAGGCCCCTGCGCTGCTGGGCGGACGCCTCGAACTTCGAGAGCTGGAAGAAGAAATTCGCCTGGCGAAGGACCCGACCACATGCAGTTGTGAATGCCGCAATTGCGCTGGGTGGTGGCGGACGCATGCGGGCGGTGCCACTGGGACCTTCGGTGGAGCTCCCTATGGGGCCACGAAGCGCTGTGCTGGGTGGGCGAGACGCGGTCAGCAAGGGCTGTGCTGCGCGGTGGCGGACGCATGCGAGCGGTGCCACTGGGACCTTCGGTGGAGCTCCCTATGGGGCCACGAAACGCTGTACTGGGTTGGTGAAACGCAAGCAGGGAGCAAGGGCTGTGCAGGGTGGTGGCGGACGCATGCGGGCGGTGCCGCTGGGACCTTTGGTGGAGCTCCCTATAGGGCTACGAAGCGCTGTTCTGGGTGGGTGAAGCACAAGGAACAAGGGCTGTGCTGGGTGGTGGCGGACGCAAGCGGGCAGTGCCACTGGGACCTTTGGTGGAGCCCCCTGTGGGGCCACGAAACGTGCGAGGGGTGTGCCAGAATGGGGTGTGGAACCGCATGCCAGCGCAGCCACTGGGGCCTTCGGTGGAGCTCCCTATGGAGCCACGAAACGTGTGAGGGGTGTGCCGGAATGGGGGGTGGAACCGCATGCGAGCGCAGCCACTGGGGCCTTCGGCGGAGCTCCCTAAGGGGCCACGAGACGTGTGAAGGGAGTGCCGAAAAAGGGTGTGGAACCGCATGCGGGCGCAGCCACTGGGGCCTTCGGTGGAGCTCTCTATGGGGCCACGAACCGTGTGAGGGGTGTGCCGAAATGGGGGGGGGGAACCACATGCGAGCGCAGCCACTGGGGCGTTCGGTGGAGCTCCCCATGGAGCCACCCACGAAGCGTGTGAGGGGTGTGCCGAAATGGGGGGTGGAACCGCATGCGAGCGCAGCCACTGGAGCGTTCGGTGGAGCTCCCTATGGGGCCACGAAACGTGTGAGGGGTGTGCCAGAATGGGGGGTGGAACCGCATGCGGGCGCAGCCACTGGGGCCTTCGGTGGAGCTCCCTATGGGGCCACGAAACGTGTGAGGGGTGTGCCAGAATGGGGGGTGGAACCGCATGCGGGCGCAGCCACTGGGGCCTTCGGTGGAGCTCCCTATGGGGCCACGAAACGTGTGAGGGGTGTGCCAGAATGGGGGGTGGAACCGCATGCGGGCGCAGCCACTGGGGCCTTCGGTGGAGCTCCCTATGGGGCCACGAAACGTGTGAGGGGTGTGCCAGAATGGGGGGTGGAACCGCATGCGGGCGCAGCCACTGGGGCCTTCGGTGGAGCTCCCTATGGGGCCACGAAACGTGTGAGGGGTGTGCCAGAATGGGGGGTGGAACCGCATGCGGGCGCAGCCACTGGGGCCTTCGGTGGAGCTCCCTATGGGGCCACGAAACGTGTGAGGGGTGTGCCAGAATGGGGGGTGGAACCGCATGCGGGCGCAGCCACTGGGGCCTTCGGTGGAGCTCCCTATGGGGCCACGAAACGTGTGAGGGGTGTGCCAGAATGGGGGGTGGAACCGCATGCGGGCGCAGCCACTGGGGCCTTCGGTGGAGCTCCCTATGGGGCCACGAAACGTGTGAGGGGTGTGCCAGAATGGGGGGTGGAACCGCATGCGGGCGCAGCCACTGGGGCCTTCGGTGGAGCTCCCTATGGGGCCACGAAACGTGTGAGGGGTGTGCCAGAATGGGGGGTGGAACCGCATGCGGGCGCAGCCACTGGGGCCTTCGGTGGAGCTCCCTATGGGGCCACGAAACGTGTGAGGGGTGTGCCAGAATGGGGGGTGGAACCGCATGCGGGCGCAGCCACTGGGGCCTTCGGTGGAGCTCCCTATGGGGCCACGAAACGTGTGAGGGGTGTGCCAGAATGGGGGGTGGAACCGCATGCGGGCGCAGCCACTGGGGCCTTCGGTGGAGCTCCCTATGGGGCCACGAAACGTGTGAGGGGTGTGCCAGAATGGGGGGTGGAACCGCATGCGGGCGCAGCCACTGGGGCCTTCGGTGGAGCTCCCTATGGGGCCACGAAACGTGTGAGGGGTGTGCCAGAATGGGGGGTGGAACCGCATGCGGGCGCAGCCACTGGGGCCTTCGGTGGAGCTCCCTATGGGGCCACGAAACGTGTGAGGGGTGTGCCAGAATGGGGGGTGGAACCGCATGCGGGCGCAGCCACTGGGGCCTTCGGTGGAGCTCCCTATGGGGCCACGAAACGTGTGAGGGGTGTGCCAGAATGGGGGGTGGAACCGCTTGCGGGCGCAGCCACTGGGGCCTTCGGTGGAGCTCCCTATGGGGCCACGAAACGTGTGAAGGGTGTGCCAGGATGGGTGTGGGAGGGGGAGGAGGGGAGAGGAAGGGGAGGGGGAGGAAGGAGGAGGAAGGAACGCGGGGCGACGTCTCTTCAAAACGAGGACCCAACACCACAGGATGGTTGGGAAAAAGAAGAAGCGGCTTAGCGATGGGTCTATCGTCCTCGGCCGGGGGGCGCGGCGCGGACGATGCGCGGCGAATGCAAAGTGATCAGATAGACATGTTTGCTCCGGCGTCTCTGGCATGTCGACGACGCGAACTTGGACTTGAATGCGCGTCAGAAAATGCCCATGTAGACTAGCTCATATTCGGTCTGTAGTTGTTGCGTGCTCACCCACGCCGCTGTTGCGCGCAGGTTCGACACCGTCCATTCCCGCTAGAGCTGCGAAGGTCCCTTGCCAGGCGGGCGCGCGTTGTCGCCTCCATTCACGAAGAGCGGCAACTGGTTCAGGCCGGGTGGGCGGTGCGCGCTGCCGCGGAGGCTCCGAGCAGAGATGAAACCGCCAACAGGCACAAAGACATAACGATCTGGGGCCTGCCGAGCGAGGGCGAGCTCCCGTTTTATATGGTCGGCAACCTTCTCCGTCATCTATCTTATCTGACGCGCAAGACTGCGATTCTGAACGCGGACGTGGGAGATGAAGAAGTGACCGGGCCCCGGGGCCTCTGAAATAGGACCCGCGTCCAGCAGGCAGTGGAAGACCCCCCCTGAGATCGCGATCTCGGGCTCGCACGTTGCTAGCGCATGGGCTCCATTCTCAAGGCTGAGATCGGGGTAGATCGCAGACGCGCCACCTCGCCCGCTCGAGTCCGCGAAGGACGCCCGCCAGGGAGAAACCTGCAGGAAAAGAAGAGGAAGTCGGAGAGGGGGCGAGTCGGAGGATCGCGGTGAAAGAGCGCTCGAGCATTCCAAGCGCTCATTAGCGTCAGACGCCTGGCCTCGCGCTGCGCCGCTCCGAGGACGCGGGACATGCTGCTAAAAAGGCTCAAATTAGCAGTGCCCGCAGCGCTCTTCAAGGCGTCCCGCAGTTTCTGTTCGACCTGGCTCCTGTCGATGTTGAGCGGGCGAATGTTGGCGCTCTACCACGCCATGGCCGGCGGCGTAGTGTCGTGCTTGGGTGTGAACTTGATGAGTGATTTCCGCTGCGACGATACGACTCCAGTGGCGGCCCACGAAAAAGCACATCTGGGGGCATGTCCCGGCCAGTATATTGCGGCACGTCTTGGCCGCAATATCCTGGTCGATCTGCGCCGGGCTCTTGTCCACGGACATGAACCGCTCAAGGGCATGTTGTTGCCGCTGGCATGCACATTGAAACGATGGAACGAGCCGTCATGGTTGCGGAACGTGCCGCGAGCTTGGCATGCACGACGGGCTGCCCATCCTGCTGCGCCTTTGCACTTGGTAAAGCAAGGTGTTCCTGTAGGTTACCCCTGGAATTGCCACGACTCGTCTTCCCGATTGGAATCTGCCGGCCACCTAGAGATAGAGGTGAAGACTCGATCACGGGGCACCAGCCTGCAAGCGAGCGATGGACGAGTCGGTGTTGTTCATGCGGCGCTCCAACCTGGCGAAGCGGTTCTGGAAGGTTTTATCGATCGACTCGTATTTGTCATTGACGGTCCTGTTGAGTTTGGTAAATGCCTCCTGCATGGACGCCATGGCCTCGCACACCTCGGTGTTGGTGGTACCCAAATGGTTGCGAACTTCATCAGCATCAACATGAATAATGGGGCGCTGCGTCGACATAGAGTTTTCACGTCGATGGCGCTGAGGCGGGCGGCATCGTGCTGACCACTCATTTGTCAGGCAAGGCTGTTCTTGCCTGTCTGCTGCGACATGTACGGTGAGCATAAAACAGAGGTATAGTATGCCCGCCTCTGCTAGCACAGAGGTATACAGATCGGAGTGGGCTGCCCGGTCAGGCCAAAAAAGACGTGAGCCAAAATGGCAACGGACCTCCTCCTCCTCCTCCTCCTCCTCCTCCTCCTCCTCCTCCCTCCTCCTCCCTCCCTCCTCCTCGCCGAGAGCCCGCGCCGCTTCTGCGGCTTCTCCGTGGTGCTGGGCCGCAGCTCCTCAAGATCGGTGACGCCCCCGGCCCCCAGCTCCTGCGACGCGGCCGGCGCCGGCTCCGCGGCCTTCTTGGGCTCCGCCGCCTGCCTTTTGAGCGCAGCCTTGAGCTCCTGAGCATCGTTTAACCGATCCCTATCCCCACTGGAGTGGCCTGGGCCCCATTGGCAGACGTGTCCCCTAGATGTGGATAATAGGCTGTTCCCTTCGCGCTTCGAGGGGCCTATCCCCAACTGGGGGGGCAGGATCGTGCGGCTGAGATGCGACGGCCTGGTGGGGACTGGGACAGGTTAAGACATACCGATCTCCTTCGGGAAGACCTTCGTGAACCTGGCGGAGCTCTTGGCCCAGTCGGCGAGCAGGGAGGCGGCCGTCGCGCTGCCCGTCAGCCTGCCGTGCTCGGCGACCAGCTCCTTCAGGGTCGCGTCGTCCTCGCCCTCCACGGGCTCCAGGTCGATGCCCTGAAGGTTGCAGTCGTCCTTATTGGCGTCCAGGAGGAACGCGATGCCTCCGCTCATGCCCGCGCCGAAATTGGCGCCGGTGCTGCCGAGGACCACAACCACGCCCCTCGTCATGTACTCGCATCCGTGGTCGCCGACGCCCTCCACCACCGCGGTGCAGCCCGAGTTGCGAACGGCGAACCGTTCAGCGGCAACGCCCGCGAAGAACACCTTTCCGGAGGTGGCGCCGTACAGAGCTGCGTTGCCCGCGATGACCGACTCGTGGCCCTGGAATGGCGCCGTGGCAGGCTTGTAGACGATCAGCGTGCCGCCGCTCAGGCCCTTGCCGATGTAGTCGTTCGCATCCCCCTCGAGCTCGAAGGTGATCCCGGGCGCCAGGAAGTTGCCGAAGGACTGGCCGGCTGGCCCTTTGAAGATGAAGTGAATCGTGTTGTCGGGCAGGCCCTTCGCTCCGAAGCGGCGGACGACGTCGAAGCTGAGGATGGCTCCTACGGAGCGGTCGACGTTGCGGATCCTGATGCCCCTGGCAACAACGCCCTCCTGGGTCTCCAGTGCGGGTGCTGCTTTCGTCACCAGCTGCCGGTCGAGCACATGGGCGAGCTCGTGGTCCTGAGGAGTGCAGCAGAACATCGCGTTCTTGCCTCCCGCCGAGAAGGACTGCAACGTCCACGCGGGCCTGAGGAGGTCGCTGAAGTCGAGGGAGGCCGTCTTCCAATTGTCCTTGAGGTGAGACTTCGGCCGGAGCAGGTCGGTGCGGCCAATGAGCTCGTTGAATGTGCGGCAACCCAAAGACGCCATGATTTCACGGGTGTCCTCGGCCACCATGAACATGAAATTTATCACGTGCTCGGGCTGACCGGTGAACTTCTTGCGCAGTTCGGGGTCCTGCGTGGCGACACCGACTGGGCAAGTATTGAGGTGGCACTTGCGCATCATAACGCAGCCCAGGGCGATCAAGGGGGCTGTGGTCATCGCCACCTGAAGGGGAGCCAATGGCTGGCTCGGGGGGGAAACACCTGCCCGGAATCGACGGACGACACATCGCCGACAGGCCTCCGACGGAGGGACCCCGCCTTCATGGGCAGCTTGCGGCACCCAGGCCCCGACCGGCGAGGCATGGGCGAGTTGGGGGGCCGATGCTTCCCCCTCCTGAGCTGGTCCCCCTGTCGGCGCCCCGGACACCTCCTCTGCTCCAAGAAGAGCGGCCATGACCACGTCCCGCCCAGTGCGGATCTGACCGTCCGTCTGCACCGTCACACGATCGCGGAGGCCGTTGAGCACCAGTGTCTGGTGGGTCTCCGCGAGGCCGATTTCCCATGGAAGCCCACAATGCTTGATAGAGCTCCACTTGGCCGCGCCAGTTCCTCCAGACATCCCTGAGATAGTGAGATGGTCCGCCTTGCCTTTCACCACACCGGACGCGATGACGCCGATCCCAACACGCGCCACCAGCTTGACGGAGATGCGCGCGGAAGTGTTCGCGTTCTTCAAATCCATGATCAATTGCGCGACGTCCTCAGAGGAACAAGAAGCAACATAAACATAACTTCCGGCGGCCCCAAAGGATTTATTGGGTCGATGCCGGAGGCGCCGCCAATGGAAGCCTCCCAAGTTGGGCTGGAGTCCAAGAGGTCGGAGGATCGCACCGAATCGCCGATACATCGGCGATGCATCTGCGACATCAGGATGGATAAAATTATATTCTGGGTCGCAACGAGACGCCGATGCATCGTCTATGAGGCACGATCCTTCGACCCACTCTACTCCAGCCCCCTGAGGCCAGGAGCCAGGGCGTGTCCACCGCCGACTTAAGACATCCGCGCGGACCTTCCAACCTTTATGCTCATGCCAACATCTGCTGTTCGAATTCTCGATTATCCGTTCTCTAGTTCCCACAATCCTTCCTTCCTTCCGAATCACCCGACGGAATGCTCTGGCCACACAGGCCCCATGAGAGCACGGGAGCCAGGTAGCAAGTCATGCTCACCAATGCTGCAAAGTCGGGGTCGGTGGCTCAATCAGCAGGACATGCAACAGCTGTATCGACATGAAATCTTCGGAGGTCCGCGCAGAGTTCTTGGATCGGCGCTGGACCCCCCTCCCTGGCGCACAGGGGCTGCGCCAGAGGCGCTGGAGCGCGCCAGGGGGCTCCAGCACCGATCCGAGAGGTCCGCGCGGACCTCCGAGAGTTTACGGCTAGACAGGCGTGCCGTCGTTCGACAGCCGCAGGTCGTGCCCCACGGACGTTCCGAGCTCGGGGCTCGCAGCTCCATCAAGCCTGTCTCTACCAGGCCCGTCACTCGAGTCCTCGATGGAGTACATGTCGTGGTGCGGCGGCGGGGAGATCAGGCCAACGCCTGGGGTCGCCTTGCGGGTCTCCGCGATCTTGCCGATGACCTTGTGGCCGGGCAGCTCGCCGCCCTCGCCCGGCTTGGCGCCCTGCGCGAGCTTGATCTGTATCTCGTCCGCGTTGGCCAGGTACTCCGCCGTAACGCCGAAGCGGCCAGAGGCCACCTGCTTGATCTTCGAGCGCACGGAGTCCGTCTCGAACAGGTCCCACTCCGCCGAGCCCATCTTCAGCTTGCCCTCCTTTCGGGTGCGCCGAAGAGGGGACCGAGTAAAGGGAGGGGTGCGCATCACGGACAGAGGCGTGTGCGAGGACGAGTGGGCACCAGAGGATTATTGGTCGAAGAAGGAGAAGAGACGTAGTCGATTAATTGGACCGGCCGTTGAAATTGAAACTCGAACTTGACACGTCTGTTTCCCCACTTTCCCTTCTGCCCCAATCCCCCTGCGTTGAGCACGGCGAATTTGCCATTCCCATCGTTCGACGACGACGACGACGACGACAACGACAACGACCATCCCCCTGCTCCTCCCCACCCTCCCCCCCCAACTTGCGCAACTGTCGCCCCTTCCGTGGACTCCTGGGCGGTCCAGCTGAGTGGTGTCATACGCGCATCGAGGCTAGACCTCGGGACTCCTTAGAAGTGCAGCCACCTGCGCAACCGTCGCCACGCTCGTGGGCTCCTGGGAGGTCCAGCGGAGTGGCGTCGTACACACATCCAAACTCAGCGGAATGGCTCCATACGCGGATCCAGACTGAATCTCGCGGTACCCTAGGGGGTGCTGCCACCCGCGCAACGGTCGCCACTTCCGTGGGCTCCTGGGAGGCCCAGCGGAAGGGTTCCATACGCGGATCAGGACTGAGTCTCGCGGTACCCTCGGGGGTGCTGCCACCCACGCAGCTGTCGCCAGTCTCGTGGGCTCCTGGAGTGCCCAGCGGAGTGGTGTCACACGCCCGCGCAACTCCCTGGGGGGGGTGCGGCCACCAACCCGCGCATGTTCAGAATGACCGGCTCTGAACTAATACGGTCCTAAACAATGTTATCAGGCTGCATGCGGCAAGTCTTGCCACCGCGCCAGTCCAGCCATCTGGGCGGCAGCTGTCCGAACGATGATGGCGACAACGACGACGACGACGAAGACAACAACCATGATTAGGAGGGACATGATGAGGAAGAGATATGCTGTCACACGTGACTCTTCTCGTATGCACTTCTTGAGGAGCTCTGATGGGGCTCAGCTGGGCTGCCTTGGGGCTGTCTTAGGCTCATGTGAGGCAGTGTTGGAGGGCCCTTTCGAGCCGTCTTGGGGCCCCCTTGGGGCTCTCGTGTGCCGTCTGAAGGCCCTCTTGGCCGTCTGGAGGGCCTCTGAGCAGCCGTCGTGGGGCCATTTTGGGGCCGTCTGTGACTGGCGGGGGCCTCTCAAAGGCTGTCTTGGATCCCTCCAGAGGCCCTCTTTGGCCATCTTGGGGTTCTCTGAGGGCCACCCTGGGCCGTCCAGGGCCCCTCTTGGGCTGCCTTGAAACCATACCCTGGGCCCCAAGATGCCCACTGCCCAAGATGGCTCCAGCACGGCCCAGTGCGGCCTCAAGACGGCCTAAGATGGCCTCAAGACGGCCTACTGATGGCCCGAACAAGTTAGAACCGATGGTTCTGATCATGCTGTGGCCCAACATCCATTTAGAACCGACTGTTCTGAACATGTCCTAGGCCCCACGATGCCTCCACGGCGGCACAAACTTGCTCCAGGACGGCTCAACACGACCTCAAGATGACCCAAGCTGGCATCAAGACGGCCCAAAAGCCCTCAAGACCGCCCAAGAGGGCTCGAAAAGGACCCTCCGGAGGGCCCGAAGAAGATCGGACCGATGATGCTAAACATGCTGTGGCCGAAATATGTTTAGAACCGACTGTTCTAACGATACCCTGGGCCATTATATGCCTCCAAGACGGCATACTATTACTTCAAGACGGCCCAATGCGGCCTCAAGACTGCCCAAAATGGTCTCAAGACGGCCCAAGAGGCCATGACAACCGCCCAAGAGGTCTCCAAAAGGACCTCCGGAGGGCCCGAAGGAGATAGGACCTATGCTTCTAAACATGCTACATGCTGTGACCAACATGTGTTTAGAACCGAATGGTCTAAACATACCCTGGGCCACAAGACGCCTCCAGGACGGCCCAAGATGGCTTCAAGACGGCCCAATGCGGTCCCAAGATGTGCCAAGAGGGCCTCAAGGGCGGCGCAAGAGGCCCTCACAACCGCCCAAGGAAGGCTCCAAGACGACCCGACGCAGGGCCCAGAGAAGTTAGAACCGATGCTTCTGAACTTGGCCCACAGTATGTTTAGAACCGACTGCTCAATACCCTGGGCCCCAAGATGCCTCCAAGACGGCCCATGAAGGCTCCAAGGCGGCCCCATACGGCCTCAAGACGGCCGAAGCTGGCCTCAGCACGGCCCAAGAGGCCCTCCGACTGCCCAAGGAGGTCTGCAAGAGGACCCTACGGAGGGCCCGAGAAGTTAGAGCCGATGGCTCTGAACATGCTGTGGCCCACAACATGTTTAGAACCGACTCTTCGAAACATACCCTAGGCCCCGAGATGCCTCCAAGACGGCCCATGATGGCTCCAAGACGGCCACGGCCCAAGAGGCCCTCACAACCGCCCAAGAGGGCTCCAAGGGGACTCTCCACACGGCCCGAAGAAGTTGATACCATTCGTTCCAAACATAGGAAGCCAGGCGAGGCAAGTCAACACTGGAGGCTTGGAGACCAAAGGAGGGGGGGAGGAGGCGAGGGAGCATCGTGCGAGCAATGCTCCATTGAAAACAAACACCTCCACCGCACCTCACGCCCAGCACAAGACATCACAGCAGCCCCTGAGTTGGTCCAATTCGCCGTTTCTGAGAGGGGGCCATGACATCTGGGAGATGCCGCGGCCCTGGCCATGGTATCCACACCCGCCCAGTCCCGATCCTTCACGGGCTTGAAGCGCTCTGGGTCCTCGCCTCCCTCACCGGTGTTGCTCTTGCCGCCCGCCCGGTTCATCGCGATGGCCATGGCCCGGTGGGCCTCGTCCGAGATGGACCCGAGCGAGGCGGCCCCCGTGCAGAAGCGCTTAACGATGTTGGCCGCGGGCTCGACCTCGTCCAGGGGGACCGGCTCGCACTCGTCGGTCTGGAACTCGAGGCAGCCGCGGATCTCCGTCTGCTCGGTCACCTTGTTCTGCCAGCGGGCGAAGAGCTTGTACCCGTCCACGGAATTGGTCCGGGCGGCCTCCTGGAGCTTGTAGATGACGTCTGGCGTGTTCGTGTGCATCTCACCCGCGTGAATAGACCTGAAATGGTACTCGCCCTCGTCTGGAAGCTCCTCCACCTCGTCGTCCACCAGCGGCGGCAGGTTGCCACGGACTGGGTAGGCGAGCTTGTGGAACTCCAGGGCATCTTGCATGACCGCGTCGAAGCCCACCCCGTCAAGCACCCCCTTGCAGCCGTGAAAGCACTTTGACATGATTTCCTTCCCGACACCGATCGCCTGAAACAGCTGAGCACCCTTGTAGCTCTGCAGGCACGAGATGCCCATCTTGGACATGATCTTCAGGATGGAGAACTCGGCGGCGGCCCGGTAGTTGTCGATCCTCCCGCTCAGGGGCAAGTCACAGCCGCGCACGCGCAGCAAGCTCAGGTAGCAGAGGTACGGGAAGACGGCATCGGCTCCGAACCCCAACAGCGTGCAGAAGTGGTGCACCTCGAAGGCATCGGCAGCCTCCACGATGATGGACACACGGGCGCGGGACTTGGCCGCGATGAGGTGCTGATGCAGGGCGCCAACGGCGAGCAGGGAGCAGATCGGGACGCGGTCCTCGTTGGCGCAGCGGTGGCTGAGGATCACGAAGGCGACCTTGTCGCCAAGGATGGCGGCCTCGGCCTCCTTGCACATCTGGTCCAGCCTCTCCGAGAGCAACGACTTCTTCCACATGGCCCGGTCCGCCATGCGCGCCCTCGAGGCGGCATCCGTGAGTGCGTACGTCATGTCGAGCGTGACACTCGAGAAGCCCACGGGCTTCTCGTGGAGGTCCAGCAGCGCGTTGAAGCGGCGCGGGCACAGCACGGGCGTGTCCAGGAACACGCGCCGGCAGGACTCCGGCCGCGGGTCCAGCAGGCTCAGCTCCGGCCCGATGGGGCAGGCCAGGGACATGACGTTCGCCTCGCGGATGGGGTCGATGGGCGGGTTCGTGGCCTGGGCGAACAGCTGCACGAAGTAGTCGAAGGGCATCTTGGGCAGCTTGGACAGGCACGCCAGCGGCGCGTCCGAACCCATAGAGCCGAGCGGTTCGTGGGAGCCCTTCACCATTGGCGAGATGAGCATGTCCAGCTTCTCGTACGTGTACCCGAAGTATTTCAGCAGCGGCAGGACGCGCTGCATAACCACAGGATCCTTGGCGTCGGATATGGTGTCGTCAAGGAGCTCTTCGATGAGAGCCTTATCTTCTAATTGTTCCTTTTGGTGGAGCACAGAATGCATGAACATACTATTTCGGACGTCCGCGCGAAATTCTTGGGTCAGCGCAGGATCCCTGCCGTCCCTGGCAGGGCCCAGCGCTAATCCAAGAAATCGCCGATGACCTCCGAAAGTCTGCGCTTGTGTAAATAAGTGATCTGCCCTGCGATCCTTGGACAGCATGTCCTTCAAGTCCATGCAATGCTCCTTCAGCCATTCCCCGTACGGCTGCTTCAGGGCGTACTTTCTCTTCAGCTCTGTGTCCTCGATCAGGCGGCCCTCCGCAAAGTCCACGAGCAGCATCTTGCCCGGCCGCAGGCGGCCCTTGAACTGCACCTCCTCGTCGGGGATGTCCACCACCCCCACCTGGCCATCGCTCGGACGTCCATTCCCTGTGTTTTCTTCGGTTTCGTGCGTGGTTTTTTCCCCAAACCATCAAGGATGCTCCTCGATGGTCCTCGCCGAAGGAAAAATGCACACGTCCGAGCGATGCCAAGCCACCTCGGACGCGAGAACGAGGCGCTCGTCCGTGGTGATGTAGAAGCGGCCGGGGCGCAGCCCGTTCCGGTCCAGCGTCGCCCCGAACTGCTTGCCGTCCGTGAACGCGACGAGGGCGGGCCCATCCCAGGGCTCCATGAGGCAGGAGTTGTACTTGTAGAAGGCACGCTTGTCGGGATCCATCTTATCCGCATTCTGCCAGGCCTCGGGCACCACCATCATGATGACCTCCGCCAGGTCGCGGCCGCCAGCGGCCAGCAAAAGCTCGACCACGTTGTCCAGGAGGGCTGAGTCGCTGCCAATGTCTTCATCGACAGGGAAAATCTTCTCTAGATTAAGCGACCCGAAAGCCTTCGCATCAGTCATCAACGCCTCACGGGCGCGTATCTGGTTCCTGTTGCCCTCCAAGGTGTTGATCTCGCCGTTGTGCGCGATGCGGCGGAATGGGTGCGCTCGGTTCCAGGATGGGAAAGAATCCGCCACCGCGCCTAGGGCGCGCAGTGTGTCTGAGAATTCGAACACGCGGCCGACTCTGAAAATCCTGGATCGAAAACTGTCTGATGGGCCTGTCTTCCACCACCACCACCACCACCATAAGTTGGAGGGGGGAAGGAAGTGGAGGGTGAGGAGGAGGAATAAGAAGAGGGGGAGGAGGACCCCCTCCCCCCTACACGTTATGGTAGTGGTGGTGGTGGTGGTGGTGGTGGTGGAAAACAGGCCAATCACTGTCGACTTCCCATGTGCAATTGCCGAGCCTTTCGCCAATATCGTGAGTCCGACGTGAAACGGAGACCCACCCTACCGGGAAATCGATTTCGGTTTCGGGTTCGTGTCGTGCGTGCCGTGCGTGCGTGCGAGGCGAAGCTGCGTGGGCGGGCGAGAAGAAATCCTGCTGTGGCTGGGCCGCGGCCAGACCAAATGTTTCTCCTCTGGCGGCCGGTGGCCCGCGGTGTCCCGCCGGTGTCTCGCTGGTGTCCCGAAATCCTCCTGTGGCTGGGCCGCGGCCGGACCAAATCTTTCTCCTCTGGCGGCCGGTGGCCCGCGGTGTCCTGCTGGTGTCCCGTGGTGTCCGCCGTTGCTAGGGAGAAGTCAAGACAAACGATTCTCTCCCTCCCGCCCGTCCAGCGGTGGCTCGCGGTGTCCCGCGGTGTCCCGTGGTGTCCCGTGGTGTCCCGTTGAATGAGATCGATAGTGAGATCGATACTGAGATCGATAGTGAGATCGATGTGGTGTCCCGAGGTGTCCCGTGGTGTCCCAAAAAGTGAGATCGCTAGTGGGATCGACAGGTGTCCCGAGGTGTCCCGAGGTGTCCCGTGGTGTCCCGTTGAGTGAGATCGATAGTGAGATCGATAGTGAGATCGTTAGTGAGATCGATGTGGTGTCCCGAGGTGTCCCGTGGTTTCTCATGGTGTCCGGTTGAGTGAGATCGTTAGTGAGATCGATAGTGAGACCGATAGTGAGATCGAGAAGTGTCCCGCGGTGTCCCGTGGTGGCACGTATTGTCCCGTGGTGTCCCGTTGAGTGAGATCGATGGTGAGATCTATAGTGAGATCGACAAGTGTCCCTTGGTGTCCCGTTAAGTGAGATCGATTGTGAGATCGATTGAATCAGATGTTGGTTCCCCCTCTCCCCCCACAGCCTCCTTATCACCCGAAGGGTGGTCGTATGGGTACATATATATATATATACATATACGTATAGGAAATATTGTGTTGCACCACCTTGCTTCCACCAACCAGCGTTCATCACATTGCTTCCACCACATTGCTTGCCCGTCCACAGTGCACACACTCACTACTTGGGCTCCACTCTGGCAAAAATCATGCTTGCTTGCACGTGTGCACTTGTGGCATTCCTCACTTCTTGGCTTCATGATGCTTCCGAGAGGGTGCAGGAGGACCCGCGATAGACCTGCAGACGCCCCCAGGGCACCCAAGATGGCTCTGAGAGGGCCCCCGGGGACGCCCAGCTGAAGGCCCGAGGCCGCCCCAAGACGGCTCCCAGGACACCCCGCATGGATCCCAAACGCTCCACGACGGCCCCGAGACCGCCATAGGACTCCTAAAGAGGGCCCAATTGAGGCTTCTGGGGAGCTCCCGAGAGGCCCCAAAGATGCCCATAGCCTTGCAATGCCAGAGGAGTGCAGAGGCTGCAGCCTTACCGCTTCACTTCACCAGGCGTTGTGGCGCGGACACGCGCGGCAGCGCAACTGGATTCGTGGAGAAGCGTGAGTGCACGACCGCCAGGTATGCTGTTGTCTGGGGCGACTTCAGGTCGAGATAATACTCGAAGAGCTGGTCGGGTTTGAACTGCCCCTTGTACGTGATGGTGTACGAATTAAAGGAGCAGATGAATAACTCCGAGGCGCGCAGCGAGATGGCCCTGCGGACCAAGAAAAGCATGGCCTCAAGCGAGAGGTCCTCGGCACAGACGGACGTCGATCTCGGAAGGCCCTTGCCAGGCCTGCTGACAGCCTCTTCCGCCGAGCTGATTCCTGATAAGGTGGGGCTCTTGCCCCTGCGCTGGTTCCGACCACGCTTCGTGTCGCCGATGAGCGCCTGGATGCCGTCGGCCTTCGCTACGAACACCTGCCCGACGTACGGCTCGGTGGACTGGGCGTAGGGCCCGAGGACGGAGCTGTTCACGGGGAGCGGCATGCGCCACCCGAGCACCTGCAGGCCGTACTTCGCTGCCATGCGGCTGACGAGCGCCACGCAAGCCTCGCGGCTCTGCTCGTGCTGTGGCAGGAAGACGTTACCGACGCCATACTCGTGCACGGGCGGAAGCGGGAACGGGCACACGCTGCGGAAGAAGTCGTCGGGGATGGACAACATGATGCCCACGCCGTCGCCGTCGTTCTCGTTGGCCTGCTTGGCGCCGCGGTGCGTCATGCGGACCGCCATGTCGTTAGCGTCCGTCAAGATCTTGCGGGAACTCTCCTGCCTCATGCTCATCACAGCACCAACGCCGCACGCGTCGCTCTCATACCTGGAGGAGGAGGAGGAGGAGGAGAAGGAGGAGGAGGAGGAGGAGGAGGAAGAGGAGGAGGGAGAGGAGGAGGAGAAGGAGGAGGAGGAGCAGGAGGAGCAGGAGGAGCAGGAGGAGGAAAAAGGAGGAGGAGGAGGAGAAAAGGGGGAGGAGAATGAGGAGGAGCACCAGGGCCCCCTCCCCATCCTCCTCTTCGCCTCCTCGCGCTCCCTCTCCCCGGTCTGCTGCTCGTCCTCCTCCTCCTCCCCCAGCCTGCTCCTCCTCCCCCCTCCTCGCCCTCGACCTCTTCCTTCTGGGGCCGCGCCTGGGGTCGTAGAGGCCCTGCGCCTTGGGGATCTGGTCCCAGTGCAGCCTGCCTCCACCGGGCTCCATCGCGCGCCCCCTCACGCGGAGTGATCGCGAGAGTGTGAACGGGCCCACGCAGTGCAGCGCTGAAACCTCGGGCCAAAACGGCTGCCGGTAGCGGCGATGGCGACGGCGACGGCGTCCAGTATCCTCCTCCTCCTCCTCCTCCTCCTCCTCCTCCTCCTCCACCTCCTCTTCCTCCTCCTCCTCCTCCTCCTCATCATCATCAGCAGCAGCAGCATCAGCATCAGCAACAGCAATAGCGTCATCATCATCATCATCATCATCATCATCATCATCATCATCATCATCATCATCATCATCATCAGCATCAGCATCAGCATCAGCATCAGCATCGTCATCGTCATCGTCATCATCATCATCATCATCATCATCATCATCATCATCATCATCATCATCATCATCGTCATCGTCATCATCATCATCATCATCATCATCATCATCATCCGCATGACCATCATCACCACCACCACGATCCTGATCCTCATCATCATCATCCTCCTCATCCTCCTCCGCCTCATACTCATCCTCATCCCCATCCTCAGCAATATCATCATCACCACCATCATCATCCTAAGCATCATCGTCATCATCAGCAGCATCATCATCAGCAGCGTCATCGTCATCGTCATCATCGTCATACGCGGTAGCACCATCATCCTCAGCAGCAGCATCATGTTCACCATCAGCATCCTCATCACCATCATCATCAGCAGCAGCATCATCAGCATCATCGTCATCATACTCATCATCAGCATCATCATAAGCATCGCCGTCAAGATCAAGATCATCACCAGCATCATCATCAGCATCATCAGCATCAGCATCGTCAGCATCATCATCATCATCAGCATCATCGTCATCCTCCGCCTCGTCCGTATCAATATTCTCATCATAATTACTAACACCATCATCAGTACCATAATCGTCATCATCATCACCACCATCATCATCGTCATAACCATCATCACCATCATCATCATCGTCATCATCATCATCGTCATCGAGATCATGATGATCACCATCATCAGCAGCAGCATCATCAACATCGTCGTCGTAACCATCATCAACACCACCATCACCATTACCAACACCAGCGCCACTATCGTCGTCGTCGTGGTCAAAACCACCATCTCCACGATCACAATCAGCATCATCACCATTACCACCACCACCACATTCATCATCATTACCATCATCAGCAACATCATCCTCAACATACCATTGCCAATTTGACCCTTACCTCCTTACTGCCAATTGGGAATGCACTGAATGAAGCGTATGTTGCGGAATGAACGGATGTGAAAGGAAAGGGGGCCAGCCAGATCATCGCAGATATGCGTAGACAGCACCCTTCAGAATATTCGTGCTGACAGCGATGATGGTGATTGCGATGAGAACGAAGGCGAAGACGATAGCAAAAACGAAGACGACGACGACGCCGTCTCATAAGACCGGGCTGACTCATGCACGAGATTGCCCATCAGAAGATCGACAGACGGGCGGTCGGGTGTTGCCAGAGGTGGGCCCTGGCCCAATGTGGCCTCGGCTTTCCGTGACGAGCGAACAACACGCACCCATACTCATCGGGAGGACGGAGAGGGCTATGGGTGCGTGTTGTCGGATGGGGGGTCCCGGCTCGAACGGGAGCCTCCCCCGCGGTCTGACAACCCGCACCCATACCCACAGCAAGTCCTCCTCCCGCCGACCCCCCCTATGGGTACGGGTGTGCATTGTCCGCTCGCCATTCCGGGCGAGGACCACATGGCCTCCCGAGCACCCCTCGTGAGGACCCGAGGGCCCCGAGACTCCAAAACGGCGCGCAGGGCTGGGGGCACGCTGAGCCAGGAACACCTGTGGCTACTGCAACCCCCTCTGGCGGGAGTGGGCAGGCGAGGCGGCGAGCGAGCGCCGGGTGCACGCGAGAAGGGGGACCAAGAAGAGGGGCGTCAGCGCTGCACTCGGGGGGGGCGCAAACATGGATTCGCGAAATGCGGTCGGTGCCGCCTCGCTCGGCGGCGGAAATGCGCGATGTCCCATGGAAACGGGACCCGTCGCTAACTCACGCCCCCCTTGATCCATGCTTGCGATCGCCTGAAAGAAGAGGGGGGTCAGCGCTGCATGGCCTGGGCCAAGGCACGGGGGCCAAGACATCAGGTATATTTCACGGCCCCGGCCATGGTATCCATCGTATCTGCCCCCCCCCTCGACGCCCGGTGGTATGCCGCTTTCGGGTCCCATGCTCGGGCTCTGGCGGCCGTTCGGGACGATCCGGGCACCCCCGGAAAGCTCTCGACAAATGGCAGCTGCTGGAAAAAGCAGCCCGAGGCGAGAAAGCCTCCAAGAACCCCCGAAAGCAAGGGGAGGCCTACGCAGATTCCTTGGATGGGCGCTGGACTCCCCTCCCTGCTCCGCGCCAGAGACGCCGCCATGGGGGCCCAACGCCGATCCGAGAACTCCGCGCGGACGTCTGAAAGTATATCTTTATCCGATTGCTTCTTCTTCTTCTTCGGGTGACGATCGCCACCGTGAAGACGACGACCACGATCACAACCACGACGGCCCACGACGGTCACGACCACGACGGCGACAGCGGCGGCGACGACGGCCTTGCGGCACCCTCCCCGACCCGCGCGCAACGCCTTCAGCCTGTGCGCGTTCCTGCGGGTGGGCGTCAGCTTGCAATTTGACCGAACAACACATGTGCCAGGCACGAGCGAGGAAGGTGTTGCACTTGAAATCCGCTGTCTTTCTCACCTGACGTGTGGAAGAGAAGAACTCCAAACAAGAGGACCGGAAGGAGGAGAGAACGAGAGAGAGAGAGAGATACAAAAAAACGAATAGGAAGACGAGGAGGAGGAGGAGGAGGAGGAGGAGGAGGAGGAGGAGGAGTGGGCAACGTGGCTGCCCGAGACGGACAAAGCCTCGTCATGGGGGCGACGCGATGGGGGCGCGGGCGCATCTCACCGTGAAGGCGACGTCCACTGCGAGACGGACAGCGAACCCCGTTCAAAACTCATGTGCCCTGCTGTCCGTCGTCGCCCCAGCTCGGCTCCTGGGTCACCCAGCTTCGTGCTGCGCGCTGCGCGAAGCACTATCTTGTTGTTCGCCCCGTCAGCGTTGTCCTCTTCAATATCGCAGCAGGGCGAAGCGACGGTCTGGCCCGCGCGACTACGAAGTTCCGCGATAACCGATGTTAGAAAGGGAACGCCAAGAACTCCTTCGCACGCAATGCCACTCAATGTCAGTACACTGCACCACTCAATAGCGAAGCACGGTTACCCTCGCGCCCTCACGCGGCCACCCCAGAGAAGGGCTATCTCCAGGCCCAGGCCGCGAAGCGCGAGGCGAGATCATGTTGTCGCCCCTGCGGGTGACCACTGGCTGGTTCCTGCCGTGTCGACGCGGACGTTGGTCTCTGACACCGTGGTAACGGTTCAACCTTGAGCGATCTCTGCCATCCGCCTTCAAGGATGGACTGGATCACATAAAAACAAAAGCAACATATGCATAGTCCGCCGACCCCTTGTGAGTCTCTGGGCATGTGAGATCGCTCCCCCACCCCCGTAATCCCCCCCACGGACCCCAAACTGGGGATTTAACCACCCCTGCCCTGGCACGGGACGACCACAGCACGAACGCGCTATGGGGGGATAGACGGCCCCAAAACGGGCCAAGAGGGCCCCAAGAGGGCCCAAAGACGATCCAAGGGGGCCCCGAATCGCCGAAAGATCGTTCCAAAACGCCCTAGAGTGCCTCCAGACGGCTCAAGACGCCCCCAAGACGCCCCAGGCGTTCTCCAAGAAGTCTCCCAAGAGGACCCGAAGAGAGGCCCAAGAGGCAGACCGTGTTTACAGGACTTTAGCGTTCTCGCCTTTTCGGTTTCCCGAAGCTCCAAGACGGGCCAACATGCTACCAAATTTCGTGCCAAGACGGCCCAGAAAGCCTCGAGGGCCACAAAACGGCACAAGAGGGCTCCAAGACGGCCCCCAAGACGGCCCAACAGGCCCTCAAGATGGCTCCGAACGGACATTTCAAGCTCTCGTCCTCGAGAGGCCCCCTGGAGGCCCCAGGGGGCCCACAGGAGGCCGAGAGGCACCCAAGAGGCCTCCAGAGAGCCCCACGAGGCTCCCAAGAGGCTCCCAAGAGGCCCTCAAGAGGCTTCCACAAGGACCCCAAACTGCCCCCCTGCATGCCCTCGAGAGAGCTCCGAAGAGACAGCAAGAAGCATCCCTGAGGACTCTGACCCACACGCATTCCAAAGACCGAAAAGCCAAAGTCCGCCAAGCCCCGCGTACCGGAGAGCTGAACGCGTGCAGCCTCCTCTGCCGCGCCCCGCCGAAGCGTCTACGAAGGTCTGGAGAGACTCCCAAGACCCTCCCCAGACACCCCAATGCACCCTCAAGGAGCCCCCAGGATCCCCGCAGAGGACCATCGAGGACAGAAGAAAAACCTCCAAGACATCGTCTGCAGAAAGGGGACTCCAAGAAAAACCTCCAAGACAGGACGGAAGAAAACCTCCAAAGAAAACCGTCCAAGACAGGACGGAAGAAAAAACTCAAAGAAAAACCTTCAAGACAGGGACTACAAAAAGGGGTCGGCGGATGCGGCGTAAGCCTGTAAAGTCCACGTCCGGAGGTGACATGCTGAGCAGCAGCGTTCTTCGGCTAATGCAGCGTATCCAATGTATCAGTGATTGTGTAATTGCTACACGTTGTACTCTTTTGCATTATCATGTCTCCCCCCCTTACCCCCCCCCCTCGACTCGCGCCACATCCGTCGACCAAAGATGGTGAATCCCTTCCCTCCGAAGCAAACAAACATTTCTAGAAAATCAATGATTTGGACCTCCTGGGCCTCTTGGAGTCGAAGAGGGCCTGAAAGCGGCGCAATATGGCCTCCAGACGGTCTCAAGCCGGCCCAAAATTGCCCCGAGAGGCCCCCCAAACGCTCCGCGAGGGCCCCCCAAAGTTGCCCCGCAGGCCAACAACATTGACTTCCCGATGGGTGTGGCAAAATTTTCGCGTTCTTGCATGTTTCGGCTCATGGGGGCCCATGACGACCCAAGCAGCCTACAAGATAGCCCG